TGGACCTGATGCTCGTGCCACCAGTATTCCCTGCATGTGGGGTTTTGTTGGAAGCTCTCGTTGGCTGCTTTCTTGCTGGGGTCCAGACAAATCCAGCCAGCAAACAGTCAGGGTCCATTGCCACCCGTGCTATTCAGGGAGGGGTTCTTCTGGAGCCTCCTTCACACTGCATGGGGTTGTGTGCCTCCAGTGTGCTGGGATGCTGTCGCTGGGGGATGTGACCGGCAGCTCTGGGCGAGTCTGTTGGAGCTTATTGAGCAATGCTTGCAAGTAGTTTCAAGATTGAATTGTAGGCGTGGTGGGCACTGGTGCCAACAAAGGGATTTGGCCTCAGGCTCTCCATACCCAGCTTTGGGGGCCAGATTGGAGAAGACTTTGGTTCCTCTTTGAAATCCTTGCTGAGGTCACTGGCGGTGCGGGAGAGGCACGTCAGGTGCTATGGTTTTGAGGTTCGGAGATGCCCACCAAAGATGCTCATTAACAGGATGGGTCTGCTCCCTGGTTATCCCTCTTCAAGGAGCTGGAAGCTCATGTTCCCAGGTCCTACTGTGAAAAAGCAAAGCTGTTGGGGATGTGGTGACCGAGCAGGACAGGAGCAACAACACCAAAGCTCCCAAATGTTGGGCTGAGCCGTGCAATGACACTGGAAGTGTTGGCTGCAGCCTCGAGCAATGCTCCTGTGGTGGAGCAGTTCTGTGCCGTGTTTTGTCTCCCGGCACACGGCAGCTGAGTTTGTGACCAGTAATGAGGCTCCTCCTTGGCTTTTGTTGTCTATTTGCATTTGCAGGAGTTGAAGGACCCTTCTAGATGAGAAAAATGGGCCACCACGCTGCATAACTCATTAACATGTGGATACACTGGGAGCCTAGCACCATCCCAGATGTGTCAGTGGTCTCATGCTGACCACTGCAAGGTCCTCGCTGACAAATGGGGTGCAGCTCTGTGGGTGCCCTGCACCACGTGGTTGTTCGTACCTTCTCTGTCCTAGCAGATGCACCACAAATATCTCTGCTGGTTGCACTTCTCTGGGTTTTTTGGTGTCCCTGTTTGCTTCTGTTGCTCAAAAATACACTTTTATTGCCTGGTTCACTTTGATTATTGGGAGCAAACCAAAATACTCATAAGTATGCGTGGGTGGTCTGGGTGGTTTAGGGGTTGGCATCAAAATTAGTAGGGTATTTTTGTGTTTGTTGTGCCCTCTTCTCTTTCTTCTGTTAGCTAATTGCTGCTGTGAAGTCTCCTTAACGGTGACTGACGTTAACGAAGCTGCACTGGCACAGCTCTAAGATGGCAGGAGCTGCTTTGTGTGCGTGTCTCCGTGCTGTCACCCGCTGCCACACTTCCCTTCACGTGGGACCCCGTCCCACCTTCGAGTGAGTGTTATGGTGAGGGACAGGTTTTAATTGCCCACCCGGAGCCCTTTCCCGAGGACTGGCAGTGTAGCGCCGTCAGCATCGCCCCAGACTCTCGGTGGATTTGCTTTTTCCCCGTTGAGCAGTGCTTGTGCTGGCTGCTGCCTGGGCTTGGCTCCGTTCCACTTCTGTCCTTGGTGGTGGTGAAAGCACGTTCCTCGTGATGGGAAAGCCTCCGTGAGAAACACAAAGGGCTTTCATTAGCGAAGGCAGCGGCGGGCGGACGTGGACGGCCAGCACCAGTACGGTGAAGCTTCACCCCGCGTAACTCTTGCAAAGGGATTGCTGGGGACATACAAGCTCCAGCAGTGAGCGTGTAGCGGCTGTGTTTGCACTTGCTGGCATTTAATCTTAGAGCGTACCCAGCAAGGAAAGAGAAATAAATTTTCCTTCTGCAAAGGGGATTTAGGGCCCAGAAGTGTTAAGTGATTTGCTCGCGGGGGCTGACGTGTGTTGGAGCTGGAAGCCAGGAGGGTGCAGGGCTTGTTTTGGACAGCCAGATATCTCTGCTAGCTCAGCCTTGCTAGCTGGAGGAGATGCGAGAGCTGCTGCTCGAGGGTATGAGTGCTGCCCAACGGCCCTGATGCCAGCGTCTCCCTTGGCTTCTGGCCTGGTGGAGGGAGTGGGTGCCTGCTGATGGTGAGAGCGGCCAGCAGAGCCACCCCACGGTACCCAGGGCTGCCTCGGCTCCCCCCAGCCATCCCGCAGCCACCAGCGGGCAAATCTCCTGACCTTGCTCAATAAAACAGGAGGATGAAAAGCCACGGCACCGGGAGATAAGACACATGCAGGGCGGGGGATGAATTCAGGGATTGATCCATCTGTCTTCCTCCGGCGTGGCTTTCAGCTTTTTTCAGATGTGTCCTGGTGAGGCAGCTCTGTTCCTGTCCTTGCCCTTGGAGAGCCACCCGGGGCCTTTTTATTTTGCTCTTGAGCTTTGGGCAAGGGAGCAGGAGAGCTGCCTTGTCTCCCCATGGTTGCTAAACGGGGCTCTGTTTGTTCCAGTGCAGGGTGAAATATGAAATCCCATCAAGCCGCCTCGCTTATTAGAGAGATCTCAGCGAGCTGCTTATTATGCACCGTGGCATAATGCAGATTACGAATGTGACCGGGCGATAATTAGCAGAGCTGGAACTGTAATTAAACGCTCCTGTGCTGCGCTGTGGTTTCTGTCGCAAAGTGGAAGGAAGCTGAACGGTTTCAACACCCGCAGGTCCTCGGCGTGCACGCGCAGCCGCTGCTCCCGGGGCGATGGGGGCGGGCGCTCCTCATCACCGCCTGAGCTTTTGCTGCTGCCCACCAAAGTCAAGCAGCCCTGCCTGATTCTTCTCTGGCCATTTCAATGCTGGAGACTTGCTTTTTGGTTTGCAAAATGTGGCATTGAGGAGTGGGTTTGTTTTCTTGAGCGCCCTTTAAAGGAGCCTCACGCTTTCTTCGAGCACCTTGCCCTGGTTCTGCCGAGATGCGCCGGATGAGGTTGCCGTATTCTGGTGGGGAGGGGTGTGTGTGTGTGTGTGTGATTTGTCTGTGGGAGCGCAGCCCTCTTCTCCGTCAGGCTTATGAGGGTTTTTTATGCCAAACCCATCCTTTTCAGATCCCATGGGATGCAGCTGGGACACTGGCTGTGGGGCAGCCTCGGAGGCGGGTGGCGATGGAGAGCTGGGGATGGGCTCCTGGGGGAGAGCTGGTCCTGCCGGTTGGAAGCGGTGCATGGGGAAAAGAGCTGTGGAGTATGAGCTGTGCTGCTGGCAGAGGGGACCTTGTGGTCCAGCCACTGCTGCTTGAGACCTCCAGGCCATCTTTAATGCTCAGTGGGGTGGAAGTGCTCTGACAAGCTGCCTGGAGAGAGGATGGATGCGGGAGAGCAAGGAGAGGGCTGCAGACACTCAGGCGGAAGGTGCTTTGTGTGCTGAAAGAGCAAATGCACTTGAGCCAGAAGATCTCAGAGTTCTCGGCGGAGGTCAATCTTATGTCCCCTGCCTACAGCCATCCATGTGGGAACAGGCAGAAGCTGCTGTGAATGTAATGTCTTCCTCTCTGCTCCTCTGCCTCTTGCACCTTCTCCGCTTGCAGGTGGTGTCTGTGTCACTGAGGATGCAGAGAGGCTTTGTGGGGTCACTAGTTGATGGGTTCTGCAGCCACTCGCTGTGGTTGCGGGCCTGGTATTGCGTGGGGCAGGTGAGGTTGGATGTGCAAGCTTCTGCTGGAGTTAGTTGTCTTGCTTAAAGGATGGAGGTGTGTGAGCCAGAGAGGAAGCAGGTAATTTTGGCAGCTGATCAGGGCCAGGATGCCAGTTCAGGGTGAGAGTCTGACTGTTTGGTGGCTGTCGGCAGCGTTGGCCATGGAGAGCCAGCAGCGAGGCTGGAAGTGGTTGTGGGCTGGTGTCTCTGTCCATTCTTGGTGACCAGCAAGCTTGACCTCTCCAGGGTTATAATCATCTCTCCTCAGCAGAGGCTTAGGAGGACATTGCTCAGTGTAGTGGTAGATGCTCTAGAGGGATCTTCCCCTGCTTGAAACCGAAACCCAGGTCAGCGTTCGCTAATGATTTGATTAGTTTCCTCAGTCTGCTTCTCTTCTGAGGTTGCTCAGTATCTTATCAAGATCATAAGGTGTAAAGAGAGGAGGTCTGAGCAGAGAATGAGCAGCTAACCCCAAAACTGCTGCAAATCCTCGTGAGCCAAGGCGAGTGGATGACTGACTGCAGATGGCTTGGCTGATGAACCCTGAAGGACAGGAAGGTCTCCACCCTACCCTTCCCTTGGCCAGCAGCAAAGTCAGTCCGTCAGCCATGCTTCTCCTAACAGTGCTGTAGTCTGCTAGTGTGGCAGAGAGGCCAAGGGCCTTGGCTTGTCAGCGTCAGGGTGACTTGGCTGTGGTTTCGCTTGGCATGTTGGCTTGTTGGCTTTTCAAGCCTGGCTCTGGCGGTGAGATGTGGTTTCCATGTGCAAGGAGAGCACGATGGCTGGCGCAATTGGCTTGGCTGTTGGCCGGATCAGGCTCTGAAGCGGGTACTTGCGCAGAGAAGAGGGATATGATCTGAACGCCTGTGTCTTCAGCTGGTCACAGGGTAGATTTGGGAGGAGAAGGATGTTGATTTTCGTGGGCGCTGGAGGGAGATCGCTACTTGTTTGTCCTGTCCTGCCAGTTGCACAGAAGCCTGTAGATTTTTTTTCTGCTAATAAGCCATCAGGTCCAAAGTCACTGGCTGCGTTAACATCTGAGCAATAGCCAAAAGGCATCCTCACCGGGGATAATTACACTGGCAAAAGCCATCAGGGAAGGAACTTGGCACAAATTCTTTCAAGCAGGAGAGCAAATATCTCCTGCAGAGGGACTTTTGGGTGTGATCTATACGACCACAAAGTGCTAGCTCTTCATGGTTATGTGGGTATGGGCACGCCAGGGTAGGAGAGACCTGCAAGATCCTTGTCCTCTGACAGGGCGTGGGACTTGAACTGCCTGCTGGCACAGGCATTGAGAAGGTGGCAGCGCTGGGCTTGAGGTTCTTCAGGAATGTAGATGCTTGTTGATACTTGTTCTCCTTCCTGTATTCCCAATGGTGACCAGCGTGTTTCTCCTTCCCCACAGATGGAGTCTCCAGTCTCTACGCCTGCAGTGCTGCCCTTGCACCTCCTTGTCCCTGTTGTCAACAATGACATCTCGTCGCCTTGCGAGCAGATCATGGTACGCACTCGCTCGGTGGGAGTGAACACCTGTGATGTGGCTCTGGCCACTGAGCCCGAGTGCCTGGGCCCCTGCGAGCCTGGGACCAGCGTGAACCTGGAGGGCATTGTCTGGCAAGAGACGGAGGATGGTAAGTGTCACCGGAGAGCTTTTTGCTCTCCTACAATGTCATTTTGGAGTCATGGCCATCCCTTCCTTCCCGTGTCACTGCTGTGCTACTTGTTAGCACATCCTGGGCTTTCCCCCCACCATCTGGATGGTCAGGACAGAGGAGCTGTGTGCGAGCGGCCGTTAATCTGTCCAGCAAAGGGAGTAACGGGCCAAAACTTGCCCAATGCGTTGCGTTATCCCCTTGCCCAGAAAATCTAAGCTGCCATTTCTCTGCCTTTCTGCAAGAGCTGACTTGTTCTGGAGGTGCCAGAGGAAAGGCTGTGCCAGCCTGCACGGGAACTCGATGGAGTTGACTTCGTTTCTGCTTGGCAACCCGCAGGTCTGTCACAAAAACGCTCAAACCCTGGGAGGCAGCAGAAATCTCCTGCTGGATTAAAAAACCCCAGTGGAGCTTTCAAAATCGACTCGGCAGGAGATCGGGCTCTCTTCTCTCTTGCCAAGCCAATCGAATCTTTTTTTTTCCACTGGAGCTCATCTCATCTCGCACAGCTTGGTTTGCTTTCCGAGGCCCTTTGATGGGTTTTCGTTGGTGTTGGGGCTCTGCCAAGTAACGCAGGGATGAATAGGTGGCTCAGTGGACCACGACAAGTGTTGGAACCTGGCCTTCCCTCCAGTCTTTTTGGGATGCTGGAGGCTTCTGCTTCAGGAGGCTCAGGGTGAGCTCCTCATATTTGTGTGTGGCTTCAGCTGGGGTCTGGAAGCAGAAACAGAGCCCAGAAGCACAAAGGTGTGAGAGAGCAGCGGTGGTGGAGGCCAGTTGGTGGTTCATCTCGGCTGGGTACCCAAGAGCTCCTCTCGTACATCTGCTCGTTCATCGTCGCGTGTGGAGAATGAGGCTGTTGGCCTTTATCCCCTGGCTGCTGCTCACTGTGACTATCTTTGTTATCTCTGATGGAAGCTGAACTGTGTTCCCATGAGCTGCTACCAGGGGGGTTCCCTTCTTACCTTGTGCTTTGGGAAGACAGAGATGGGCCCAGTTTGCTTTTCTTCTCCCTCTACTGGGAAACTAGTTTTGAAACTGTCGTTGGTGCAGGACTGAGTGCTGCGATGGCCCCCGATGTGGAGGTGGTGAGCAGTGAAATTCTTCCCGTTGGGAAAAGCACTGTGACCTGAGCTATGTGGGAAGAGAGGATTGCATGGACCATGCTGGAGGAGACTGGGATGCGCTAGCTAGCTCCACATTTCTCTGCCCTCTCTGCTTCACTGTCCGTTCTGTATGGTAAAACTTCTCTGGATTGGAGCAGCTGGGAGCTGTAGGTGCCTTTCTTCTGCTGCTCCAAGGCAGAAGGCCACCCTGTGTTGTAAAATCAGACCGAAGGATCCTCTTCGAGCTAGGCTTGCTGGTGGGGACAAGGAAACACAAAGCAGGACTGTTCAGGAGCCCTGCTCTGTGCACTCCAGGGCTGGGGGATCTGCTGGGGGGATCTCCTCAGAGGAAATCTGCAGAAGGTCTTCTGCTGAGCTACCGGTGCACTGGTACTGCTTGTTCGGTGTCTGCAAAGAGCCTGAGTGCTTTATGAGATGCAGTACCTTCAGCTAGGGAAACTGAGGCATGGCTGGGCTGAGTGTTGGGACACTCAGTAGTGCTGAGGAGCATCAGCACCCCCCACTTTTGGGGCTGCATGTTAAGCCCCCCCCCCTCCCCTCTCCCATCCCCACCAGCGTGCCATTTTGGTGTGGTTTCCCTCAACCCAGAAGACGCGGAGCTGCAGAGTTTGCTGAAAATCCCAGGACTGCTGGAGACCCCCATGGGCAGCGGCAAAGCTGGTGAGAGCTTGGACCTTGTGTGGGGAGGTTTTTTGGGCAGAAATCAGGAGAAGAGGCTCATGGTGGGGAGAGGATCCCACGTGGCTGTGCCAGGAGGGATGAACAGAGCATCTCCAAGGCAAAGAGTGCAAAACCATCCTCCCCTCCAGTTCCTGGTTGAGAAGCAGTGATGTGGGAGCAGTTTCTGATTTCGCCTCCCTTTTCTCCTGCTCCTCACCCCACCGTGAAGCTCTGCGCCCTGTCAGCCTGTCCGTCCGCATTACCCCTCGCTTCTGCAGCCACCGTTTCAGAGCATGCCTCAGAGGCACCCTGCGATTTTCCGCAGCCTGGCTGTTTGTAGTCTGTGGTAATTCGATGAACTTGCACAAAGATCCTTCTCTGCCGGCTGCTGCTTGGTTGCCACCGTCAGGAGCAATGACTTTTATGGCCAGCCCTGCAGAAGACAAGCACTGCTGTTGCCTTTGGTCGCTTCTGGTCTGCTGCACACGTTGGCTGCTGTCGTAGTGGTGTCTCTTGTCCTCAAGTGAAAAGTCAGGGTGAAACAGTCCCTATTTCCTGCTTGGCATCTCTTTCCTGCCTTCCCATTGTTAATGGTGGGGGTCAAGGGTGATGCTGGAGGAGATGCTGGACCTGGCTGTCCAAAGCTGGAGGCTGTGAAATGTGTAGGGATACAGCGAGCATCTCCCCTTGCCCGAAGGATACAATGGAGAAAGCTACACCGAGGGCACATCTATAAAGCCAAACAAGGTGCTTTGAGCATGTGTGAGCTCGCCTGTGTGCCTGGAGACTACTCCCAAGATCTCCAGAGGGATCTCAGCACCTTCACCCAGAGGGATCCATCTCTCCCGCTACTCCATGTGATGCTGCAGCCTTGCTCAGAGAGACCCCAGGACAGCAGGAGCAGCTCTTGGCTTGCATCGGGCATCCTCTGCAGTGGTGGAGAGGAGTTTGCTGGCTCAACTGCAGCAGCTGCTTTCTCCCCAGGGGTAACATCCCTGAATCCCCTGGAGCGCGATAGGCATGGGACGTGTGGAGTTACGGTTGCTCCCAAGCAGGATGCTGTAGGCACTTTGGGTCTCGGCAAGCCTGCTGCCACCAGGCACGTCGTGAGCGGTTCCCACTAAGGCTCTCAGGAGATGGACATCTCTTCTTGGTGGCATGATGCCACCTTGAAAATTTGATTTGTGTTGGATGGGCCACTTAGACTCCTGTGGTAATTGCTCTGACGTGGACCTTTTTGCAAGCTGCTCTTTTCCCAGCTGCATGGTAGTGGCACATGCCCCTGAGCCGAGGGGATCTGTGTTGCTCCATGCATGCTGGCAAAAGCATTTTTGGGCACAGGCAGCTGCTATTTATCAGCTTGTTCACGCTGAAGAAGCCCATGGCTTGTTGGAGACATCTGCTTGCCTTGAATGCCTCTGGAAGGGTTGGGTAGAGGAAAGCAACATGGTTCTTTGACCAGAGCTCCCTTTTTGTAGAAAATTGCCTTTTGGATTGGCTGGGGGGCTGCAAAAGCAGGGAGAAAGGCTCCTGAAGCCGAAGCCTGGCAACACTGGAGTGACTTTGGAAGAACAAGGTGGAGCTGACCCATCTGAGATGGGGGCATGAAGCTCTGAGGAGCTCTGCAATGTCTCTCCTGCCTTGAACACTGCCTTTGTCCTCTCCTCCTGCTGGAAAACCTGCCACAAGACTGTGATTGCTGATAAAGGCGTCCCAGTGCACTCCCACCGCCAAACATCTGGCTCTAGGGCTTTGGTCCGTCTGCTCTGCTGCTGCTCCAGGTTGGTGTCGGACCGAGGTCTGGTCTTGCTGGTGGTGGGCACCGGTCATACGCGCGCTCTCCCACGGCTGCGCTGGTGACGCCGTCCCTTTGCTGAGCCTGTCTTGTGCAGGGATGCGTTTTATTGAAACGCTTTCGTGGGGAGCAGCTGTCTTGGCAGTTCCCCTAATTCTGTTCAGTGTGATTTTGATCTGCAGGAGCTATTAACTGATCTAATTACACCGGAAAGCAGCGCTCTGTTTGCTGCCTCGTTAGCTGCCGGGTCTCCTCCATCCGCCTCAGTGGAGCTGGTGTCACCTGGCTCGGAGCATGTCACCCCCTCACCTCCGCTCACAGCGAGTGGACTGGGTCCTGGCGCCGTGCCGGTGCTGTTTGCAGCTGAAACAAGCTGGCATCTGACATGCAAAACCTCTGAGCAATGAGGATTGTGGTGTGGCAGCACCAGGAAAGCAGCAGCAAATTCCCTCCGCATCCCTTCCTCCGGCTCTGTTGTGGGACAGTGGCAGCAGGTCGCCCATGGCCGAGCTTTGCGCTCTCCAGGTGTTTGGATTGCCCTTTTTGCAAACATCTCTTGGGGGTATGATGGAGCATGAGTGTCCTTGGGGTCTGCAGATGCCAGTGTGGATGTGTCCTTACTTGGAGCATCAGAGATGCAGTAGATTGGGAGGGGATGGGGAAGGATTGGAGGGTGGGGGCAAAGACTGGAAGGTTTTACCGTAACCATGAGGAAGCCTGACCCCAAATTTGATTGCATTGCATGTTGAACCTGCTGCCTTGCCGTTACCTGTGGCCTTCAGTTGCGCCTCTGGTTGTGCTTTGCCTTTGGGGATGTTTTAAAAGGGGGATGTGCAAGATTGCACTGCTTATGGGTGGGTTGTGGGGCTTGAAAGGGGACTGCAGCATCCCCTGCGTACACACTCCAGTCTTCTTAGTTGTGTGTACTTGAACCCAGAAACAGGAGGTGAGTTTTTAAGGCTGATGCAGCAAGGGTGAGGAGCGGGAATATGGATTTCTCATTTGCTTTAATGGCATTTCCCAAAGTAATGAGCGGTTGTAAATCCCCTCCAAGGTTGCTGAGCCAATGCGCAGGCTCAATGTGCTCCTCCAAAGCCTCCTAAAGCCGTGGCAACACAACTGTGACCGCTCTCATCTTTGGATCAGCAATCTGGCAGCTCGCTCCGGGTGCAAGCATCATCTGGCGCCGCTCGGTGACGGGGCATCTTGTCTCTGGCGCCGTGAGGGTTTCTGGTGTTTCGGGCTGCTGCCTTGCACCCTCCTTGTGTTTCACTGATGGATGGGAAGGCTGCAAACCCCCTGAGCACGGTGGCTGCTTGCATGTTGGCATAGAGAAGCAGAGCTTTATTATGCATCATTCCCCAGTGCTCCTCCGGCGCCACTGCTTCGTGTCTAAT